TGAAGAATAAGTTCAATTGCAGGTTTACAAATTTGTAAATAGTATTACTTCTTCTGGATTATATCTGTAGATAGTAATAATTACTGCTGTCAATGCTTCAAGGATATGTTCACTTTCTTTCAGCCTTTTTTATTTTAAAAAATAAGTGACAAGATCCATAATCAGATTTATAATAAATGGAATGATTGTATTCTCCAGTGCAAGTTTATAATTGATAGTACTTAGCAAGATATCTAAACAACTCATAATAAGATAAGAAGATTCTTCATTTCTTTTTAAACAAAGTTGCATAGTACATGCAATATTTAAAAATATTTCATTAGATTTTTCAGGTGATATGCCTGGTTGCAATTTGAATTGTTTGTACAAACATATCCAAACCATTGTTAATTCTTGAATCTGTTTCTGGTCCTGCAAATGCATATATACTACACGTTTGCTCCTTTGTTTCGAAGCGTCAGAAAGCGCAAAGCACTGTCTTGAGCACCGTTGGTGATGTCCCCGCTCACTTTGACGTCGTTCACAGCCGGGGAAATGACCTTGAGTGACCAATTGATTTTGAACGGGATAAGGCGACTCCTTTAGATTTGGTCTAGCCTATCGAGTCTACCTTTGTGCAACCTGTTATTCTTACGTTCGTTTTGCTGATAGGATCAAAGTGACAATATAATAAATTTCGTTTTATTCGTCACCGAGTGAGAAATAATATATTTTGCACTTTCGACGATTTTCAGTTTACAACAACACTGACTGAGCAGTTAGGTATTTCAACAAAAAATTCGAAAATATTGTTGAAAAAGTGCAATGTATATCGAGGTATAATTCTACATATATACAGAAACTGACCTGCAGAGGATGGGATTCGCACTGCGAAGGGATGGCCAACGAACGGTTTGACGGCTCCACCCCCACATCGAGACGTGGCAAACCTGGTATCGCATTCACGGTCCACTGCCTCAGGATTCGGGCCTCCACCCTACCTTTACGGCGTACAGTCTACGCTGTTTCCTCGTGAAAAAAGGAGAGAGAGAGAAAGAGAGAGAGGGAGGAGGAAGAGAAAGGGAAGCTACGGGGTCCATCGTTGGCGATCTGTAACCCTCGATCGTCGAATTTGAACGTATCTCACGACGAAGCATACATACATACTTAACAAATGGTTAGGCGAACATATCCATCTTACAAATTGCGGCAACGAAACGTCTTTGTGGCTTCTATCGCGGAAATTGCCCATTAAACGGCTCTTTATCCAAAGAAATTTATTATCAAGCTCTGGGGAATAGTTCTTCGCTTACCACTACAAGCATCAATCGTGTCGTGGAAAAATTTGGAGAGTCTGTTCAAGACAATGTAATTTAAGCCAAGCTCTTGAACCTCAAAGGAATTCCAAACGTTTTGTTTGTCTAAGCATAATGTCAGGAACACTGACTATCATGTTACAGTTTTATTAACAGAGTAACAGTACATTGACTTTATTATATAAAAGGAATGTTAAAAAAAGTCCTACCATCAATGAATAGCATCGAATAATTGTTAGCAAGTTTGAGTCATTGTGTGTGTCTGTGTCTGCCGAGAAATCTATCTCTCCATCGAATAGTAAACATAACCATAGTCGCCTCACGTGTTCAACGTATTCCGAGTTACACGTGACGTAAGGCTGCATTGCTAATCAGTTGACATGAACAGCAAACAAAAGGTAACTTCAATAGAAACAGAATTCTTGATATTTGTAGAACGTATGCGGGCCACTTACATAGAAGACAAAAAATTTTGTTTCTTCGATAGTTCGACCAATATTATTTTAATAATAGATCCCATGTTAAAACAGAATTCTGGTTTGCAAAGTTATCTACCAGTAGAGGGCATAAGTCGTGGCCGCATGGTAAGAAACGACCGGGAGAGATACATAGCAGGTGCGCGTGCAGACAGCTCGAGGCGTTTACCAGTTAACCAAGGGGTGAGCAAACTTTTTTCTGAAAGGGTAGAATAAGAAGCTGTGGGATTTACTGTGCTAAAAAGAGGTCACGCCATGCCAAAGCGCAGGTCTTTTTAATCATCTTGTCAGGCTGGTATAATCCGTGCAAATCGTTCAGAAAAATTCTCGCTACTTTCTGGTGAGACAAAACTACTGCTGCTGCAACAGGCATAGCTTCTGCAACAACTCGGCTGATTGTTTTATGAAACAGACAAGTACATGTCGCGAAAATTATTTCCTTCTTCGGAAGTATTAAAAGCTCATATTTATCATATTTTCTTACTAGGACATACTATCTTGTTTAAAAAATACCCTTGGAATAAAATATCCATCTCTCTAATAAATATTTCACATGCGTCGATTAAATGAAATTGTTTGGTCCGTGTAACGATATGATAAAAATATGATATTCCCATCAAACAAGAATGTTGTGAAATAAATCGGTCGGCATTAAAATTAGAAATAAACTAGTATGAAAGTGAGTAAATGTGTCGTAGGGCTTGCCGCCGCCTCACTGCAAAGATGAGAAGTAAAAGTTTGTAAAGATAGCAATTCATTCGACGTGTTCCGAACGCAGAGAGAAAGTGATGGAAGAAGAAAATGAATGGACGTAACTGTAAGATTCTCATTCCACCAGCACGCGTTGGCTTTTTGCCAAGTCGTGAACGCGAGCCATTAACGTGCGGGATTGCTTATCAGTTGCTGAGTCCGCGTTATTGCGTCGACGATGACCAACCGAGCGGCGGGCGACGCTGTTTCTATCTCCATGCCACCTAGATGCCCCCACGTCTCACACTCGCTAGCTATCAGCTGTAAATGACGAAAGTAACCGCGTCCACGTGAGAGCGTACGCCTGTGGTAATTGGCCCTCTATCGATTACAGAGCTATTTCCGTGGATAGTGGATAACCGCGACTGAAAAAATCCTCTCTCCATTTGTTTACAGGCTGTTCGTTTAATAAATACTTCATACTTGAAATGCTAGAACAAACAATCAACGTCACAGAAAACTACGAATGAAATTACATTGTTATTAATGCAATCTACAATGATTTTTATTCGAATAGCTGTTTTTAATTGCATGTACTTAACACTGTATGAAGTACGTGAAATTCGATGTTTGATATTTGCTCATCTGTTGTTTGGGAAACGAAATAAAAAATGATAAACAATAATTACGTGCA